ACACTTTTAAAGGTGTTTCCTATCCATCTTTACTTCTTTTTTTTTTTTTTTTTTTTTTTTTAGTTTTTTTTTTTTTTTTTTTTTAAAGAGGGAAACAAGAAGCCCTAATGTTCTCTCAGCCTTCTAAATATAACTTAGCTCCTTCACTCCCGTTCTTACTTTCCTGCTGCGTACACTTCAGCGGTGTCAAACAGGTTTACGCCATGCTCATAGGCTACTGTCAGTATATCCTCTGCTGTCTAGGGAGGTGAGAGAAAGTTAAAGATGAACCACAGCTCCTTCATTACCTCCCTCACTGCACTCTAACCCACAGCACTCCAGCCCTAGTTCCCACACTCTCCCTTTTTCCCATCCTCCAGTCTCAGATCCCTCATCCCCCGTGCTTGCCCAAACCCTATCTGGGCCCCACTTTCCCCTTTACTGATTCCCTCACCACAACCACCTCTACTCTGCTTCTAGGTCCCATCACTTATACCTCATCTGAGATCTGAGAGCCAAATGTGACCCAGGTACCTGCAAGAGAGAAGTCAGGCACATGAGAACTGTGGGAGGCAGGCCATAAAAGAATGCCCCCTTCCTTTAATTCCTATTCTAACTCACCAAGACCAAGACAGGATACCCGGAGACCAGACTTTCCTAGGTTCCTGCAGGATACAGAAGCAGCAGGAAATGGTGAAGTCTCCATTAGGGACTTGGATTATCAACCCCTAGCTCTCATCCTTCCAAACTGAGAAGCCCTCAGGGGTCTCAGTCCAAAGAAATTAGACCCAGTGGGCTGATGGGATTGGACAGTGCTATCCCCATAGCAGAGGCCCTAGGAATATTGTTGAAAGAACAAGTGAACAACTAAGTGATTGTTCCTTGAGAGCCACTGTCCAGTGCCTCCATTCCTTCTTATCATCTGTGCCTTCTGGTTTGTCTTTCTCCTGGGCCAGATTCTGCTTTTATCCGAGTCATTTCTAGGATGTGTAGAGTAGTGGTGGGCTTTGAGAAATGTGGTTGACTGTGGTGCGTTTGAGAGTGGACCCCGAGTCAAAGAATCCCATGTTAAAGGGTGAAAAAAGTAACCAAGTTCAGACACATGGATAGGCAAGGGTCCCTGGCTAGTCTGGGCACATAGATGAGCCTCCAGCAAAGGCAAATGGGGGTGGGGTGAGGGGTGGATTTGACAGGAAAGCCCAGTTTTCTCTCTTCTCCTCATTGGCTTATACAGTTGGGTACAATGAGGGACCAAGTAAGGGAGTGCCAGTGACTGGAAGAAGAGGAAAGGAACTAACAAATCTCCTCCTCTTCCCAAGGCATCAGATCCAAGTAGTCAGCTCTACTTCCTAATCAGGGCTGCTACAGGGAGAGGATTGGATACCTCAGGGGACAAAGCCAGGCACATCAGTGACCTCAGCTCATTCCCAAGCAGAAGCCCCTTCCCCCTCCCCTCAATCACTTCTGAGTCCCTGGCCCCTCCTAGTTCCTGGAGATACAGAAAAATTCCATCCACCCTCCCCACCTAAAGTGTGAGGATGAAAGATATGGTCCCCCTTCCAATATGCCCCGTTCCCCTCTTCTGCCTTGCTCTCTCCCGGGAAAGGTCGCAGGAGACTGGCCCTGGGACTGGTGGGGGCACTATCTGGGTCAGGCGCCCCAACCGGCCAGAGTGAGATGCTGTTTCCCTTCGTTCTCTCCCCAGGACGCTGACCCAAGGACACTCCATTGGAGGGGGGATGCAGCCTGGAGATCCGGGCGTCCTGGGCTTTCTTACAGATAAGGAAGGAAGCTCAGGGGCATCCCCTAGGTCTGGCAGGACTCTATCAACCTTGGTAAACTTCATCTTCTCATAGTTGGGACCAACGAAGGACCAAGTAAGGAAGTGCCAGTGACTCGAAGAAGAGGAAACGAACCGGGACCTTTTAAGCGAAGTTTGAAGGGGTCTTAGCGGCCACCCCAGGAAGCCTCGGGGGGCCCGAAAGGAGAGTGAATGGGTAGGCTGCCTGGCCACCCCATACCTGTATTTCATGCCAGTGCCTCTGCCGGTGCTCTCTCGAAGGGCCCCAGCGGGTGCTGGGGGTCGGGGGACCAATGCAGCTCGTGCCTTGGGGCCCGATCCTCCACCCCTCGGAGGGTTCCCGTGCCCTGCGCCCACCGGCCCTCCATTACCGCCCCCGGGGCCTGGCCGGGGTCCACACAGACGGTCCTCACTGCTCCGGCTGCGAAGGTTCTGCTCGGTACAAGCGATAGACACCTGCATGCCGGCTGGCCAGGGCGGAGGAGGGGGCTCCGAGGGAGCGGGGAAGTCCGAGGGCAGACACCGGGGTAGTGGTGCGATCGCTGGAAGAGCGGGAAGGCTGAGGAGTCTGCAACTGAAGCCTCCGAGCAGGCTCGGGTCCGCGGGGGCGGACTGCTGGAGGTCGCCGGGTTGGCGGCGGGAAGGAAGAAAAGTGAGGGGCTACAAGAGTGGTGGTATTCAGATACCAGGAGCTATGATACAGGGACTAGGAGCGGGAAATGGGTAAGGATAAAGACAGAAGTCGATGGCGGTCTTCGGAGGATAGAGACCCAGGGACAGGGGTGGCGAAAGACGGATGCCACTTCAGCTGGAACCGCTGCGGGACCGCTGCAAGCTTCTGTCCCAGCTCATCAACATGCAGACCCGCCCCCTCATCTGCATATACCCGCCCTCTTCCAGCCAAACCTGTCGCTCATCTACATAAGCTCCGCCTCCCAAAGGCTCAGGCACTTAATATGGAGCTGGACATCCGCTATTAGGAACGTGGTTCTCACACTTTCGGGACTCGAAGCATGTCAGCTTTCTTCTGTTCAGTCGGGATGGATTTTTTTTTTGTTCCCCAGAAAACGAGGTTTGGCGACAAGGTGACTGTCACAACTACGGGGGAGGAGGAATGTATCTACTACATCTAGCAAGCGATAGCAAAAGTTACTGCCAAAATTCTACAAAACGCAACAAAGAATTATCTAGTTCAAAATGTGAACAATAAAGCTGAGAAAAAAAGCCCGCTGAAAAAAAACTCTTTGTAGGTTTCAGGGTATGCTGCTCGCCCTAGTTAACTTTGTGTGGGTCAGATTGGGAGGGCCCACAGAAACTGATACACTCAGGCTGCGGAGGGTGACAAAAATTTTATTCTTTGCGATTCAGAGTCAGGTAGGGGATAAAACTGGGGACTGTAGGCTTCATTCTGATGGCTTCATTCTCCTGTGGGCAGGAGAGTGGTGGACCTTCTGGTTGAAGCTCTGGGGAGGAGTGGGTGGAAGAGCTCACAGTGCCACAAGTCAGGAAGGGCTCAGGCAGTCACAGAATCTTGAGGGGTGAGGTAGCAGGTGTTTCAGCCAGCTCGGGCAGAGAAGAAGGGCAAAGATCGGACATAGGAGTCTAGCCGGGATCGAAAGAGCTCACTTTGCACCGTTTGTCCCAGTGGGCATAGGGGATTCTTCACGACCAACTCCACATACAGCTGTGGAGAGGAGGGTGTAAAAGCCAGGTTTGGGGCACTTTTCATTTTCAAACCCCAAACCTTGTATAACCCTGTACAAGGAACAGGGGCTGGGAGGCAAGCTCTCCCTTAGGAGAAGCTATTAGTAGGGGTGTTTAAGGACCGAAAGACCCCTGAGAAAACTGAATCTGATCTGTATATAATACAGAAGGATTAGGGCAGGACACCTGAAGGACTCCTAGGGCTCTGGTACAAGGGTTCCCCTGGCTGACACTGACCGCACTGTAGATGTGGTGCAGCACATCTCTGATGGGGCCCACGCCCAGGTCAGTGTTCATGACAACCTTGATTCCAGTGGGCGTCTCATAGTAATGGAGTTTGTAACGGCTAGTTTGGAAAGCCAGAAAGCCATCCTTCCTGCAGAAATGAGGGTATTAAAGACAGGAGTGGAATCATTCCCAAAGAAATACTCGTGATCCCCTCAGTCAATTCCTTCTTCCTGTTTGTCTAAACAGATGGTTGGTAGCAACCTCAATGAATAAAGACACCATCTCCACTCCTCAATTCAGCTGCTGCCTCCAGCTCTTCCTTCCCTGTAGCCGCACCTGCCAGCTTCAGGACATTTGCTCCAGATTCCACCTCTCTCCCCTAAGACCCCTCCCCTTCTAGGGGTCAATGCTCCATCCATTCCAGAAAATACCTCCCACACCCAAATTCTGTCCAGCCGTTCTTCAACATCCCCTCTAACACGACCTTACATGTCTAGCGGGGACATCTTGCTGACAAACGAGCGAATGGAGAAGAGCATCCCATACATTAGCTTGTACTCCTGGAGGGAGAGGGGGCAAAGTTAGGTCTCGGTAATCTAGAGAAAGGATGGGGGTGGGAAGGAGCCGGGATGTGGGGAAGAGGGACTGGGCTGGGACTCTGCATTTGGAGAACAAGATCACAGGGGCTATGCCTAGACCCTCCGATCACCTCTTCCTTGGGGATCCCCGCTTGCTTCTTGCGGTGCCACTCGCTGTAATGCAGACACACTCCATTCCGGTCAAATAGGTACAGGTTGTGAACGGTCATCTGCAAGACAAAGTGCCTCGCTCACCGGCTTGGCCCCGGCTCTGTAGGTTCAGGTTTTCCGCACGGAATCCTTCCAACCAGGTTGGAACCGCACCCCCGGACTCACCGGAAATGCTCTGAGTGTCGGAGACTAGCTACTTCCGGCTTCCAAAGCCCAGCAAAGCAACAACACCGAGCATTAACCCCGCCTCAACACCGGCTAGTCTTACGCCTGCTTCCTCTCGCAACCAATCCGTGGCCTCCGAGGCTGCGCACGCGCTCAGACACCCAGGCTCAGGGAGCGGTGAGGTGCTGGGAGCTGGGTATCGCGGGCTGGTGATGTAACCAGGCGAGGGAGGCGGGACTGAGCGTGGTGGGCGGGAGGATGCCAACGGTTTTGAGAGTAGATCCCCGCGCGACCAAAGGGTGGACATCGGCCTTTCTGGGTCGGGGTTCGGGGCTGGGGTACAATCCTTCTGTCCACCTTGGCAAGTTGGGGGCTGAGGACTGACGGTGCAGAGAATTAGTGGGAACCGGGTGGTCGCGGTAAAGGCGCTCGGGCTGGTCTGGAGGACGCGTGATATTTAGGGACATAGGAGATTGTGGCAGGGTTCACAAGGTTTCTTTTGGTGGGGTGAGGTGGGAGGGATTCTACGGATCTCAGCTGTGGCCCTGGAGGGTCTGGAGCAGATATTCAAGGGAGCTGACTGGGTAGAACAGGTGGAGAGGGGTGGGATGGGTGTGTTGGCAATGAGGTCCTGCCTCTTTTTGCCCTAAAACTAACTGGGGGGCAGACATTGGGTTTCTGTTGGGTTTGGGGTCTGTTTTCAGTTTGCAGGTTTTGGTGTGAAGACGGTATGAGGGCGTTCAATTGACCAGGGATAGCCAGTGCTGGAGTTGATCTGCAGCTTCCAGCCCTCAAGTTGGGAAGGAGCTGCAGCGGTGCTGTGGCCCCAAGGGTGCTCTTCTGTCCAGCGTCGCCTCTACCCTGCACACCCACTGTGTTTCCCAGGAGCTGCGGGGAGGAATGCCTTTGCCCTCTCCATGGCCTCTGGAGCCCATGGAAACCTTCCCTTTTATCAGAAAGCCTTGATACCCTTATTTGCTGAGGATCCACCAAGGCATCTTCCTCCCTTCCAAATCTTCCTTCTCTGTGAACTTATCCCCAAATTTGGACTCCTTCAAAACTGAACTAGGAGTTCCCAGTTTTCTGCTGTATCCAGCTGCCTCTTTGCTTCTCATGGCAACATCAGCCACCAGCCCCAGTTCACCTCTTGGGACAGAGGATCTCCTGAACCATTCATCAGAGCTTCCTGGGTTGAACCAGGTGTCCTCTGAGGTAACCTCCCAGCTCTATGCTTCTTTGCACCTCAGCCGCGAGGCTGAGGCCACAGCCCGAGCCCAGCTGTATTTAGCCTCCACCTCTTCACCTCCTAATGAGGCCTTAGACAGTTTGGCTCAAGAGCTTAGTCGCAGCTTGTCAGTTGGATTGGAGAACAACTCGAAGAAAAAGGTGAGAGAGGTGTGTCTCGGAGATCTCTAGGGTATTAGAAATTATTAGAATCTTGGCCTTGCAGGTAAGCATTGCCAAGATTTGAACTTCTTGTTAGATTTCAGTTTCCTCTTAATTGCAGTTTTTCTTATTTCTCAGTGAATGCTTTTTACCTGGGAGTGGCCTGAAACAACATAATTTGGGAAATTGTGAAAGGATTTGGAAGCTCTCTTTGCTGAGATTTGAACACCTATTATTGAATTTTAATTTCCTCTTAAGTACATAGATCTTCATGCTTATTTCTTGGAGCAAATGTATATGAGGGAGAGTATGACCTTAAACAACATGATATGGGAAATTGTGACAATTCCTAGTGGGTTGGTTTGTTATATTTTGTCAGAGACACCTGCACTGTGAAATAGGTTGTTGTCCTGTGACTTGGTACCTAAGCCCTATCGCTGGGGCTGGGTTTCATGGTTCCAAGTAAGAACTGCGGATTTAAAAACAGCAGCAAAATATGCTAAGGTTGAGTCAGTCGTGGTGATGCACACCTTTAATCCCAGCACTAAGGAGGCAGAGACAGGTGAATTTGTGAGTTCAAGGCCAGCCTGGTCTGCATAGTGAGTTCCAGGCCAGCTGGGGCTACAGGAGACCCTGTCTCAAAAAGAAAAAAAAATTAAACTTAAAAAAGCTAAGATTCTTCCAGCTTAAAACTATTTTAATTGTATGGTCCAAAATTTGGTGTACAAATTATTAAACAGGTATGTTTATAGGGGAGATAGTTATACTGACAAAAAAGATGCCAGTAATCTGCAGACTAGTTAGATCTTCCAGAGTGTGAAATCCAGACACCACAGCTACGAGGACTTTAGACAGGTCATTTGCTCTTTAGTTGGCAAAAGTCCCCGCAACTCCCCAGCCTTCTTTTATAACTGCTTTATTCACTTATACTCCTTTCTGGCTTCTGTAAGCATTTGAGTTTCTACTTCAAGGTTAAGACCTCCTTATTGGATCTAACTGCTTTTGTTGCTTTTCCAAGGTCCATTTGAAAATTCTACTCTGGCAGTATATACATTGTAGATTATACAGGTTATATGTGACTTCTCTGCGCCTTTTTTTCTAGGATGGTTCTAAGCATATCTTTGAAATGGAAAGTGTTCGTAGCCAGCTCCAGACCATGCTCCATACCTCACGTGATACTGCCTATCGTGAGTGAGCCCCATCTGTAGAACTCTGGAGGAAAGCCTAGATTTAAGGGTGGGAGACAGTGGAAAGAAGAAGCAGGAACTTTGACTTCTGGGGCATGAGACTTGAGAAGAAAAGGCACCTGTTCTCTGGGAGAGGGTTTGGGGAGTGGAGAGGTAGAAAAAGCCCTCTCTTCTTCAAATGGCCCCTGTTGCTGTTCATACCTGACCTCACTGTGGTATTTCTTGGGCTGCAAGCAGGTGATCCCCTCACTCTAGGAATTGGCTTAGAGAGACGGGAAGAGGACTCCTTTGATAGTGACAGCACAGCTACCTTGCTCAAGTGAGTGTCCTCCAACTCGGTGGAGTCCTTCTGTCCTTCAGGTTCTTGTGGCTCACTTCCTTTCTTGGAAATCCATGTGTTGCATTTCTTAGTTCTCCCTTCATCATTTATTTATTTCCTAGGGACCTAAGAAGCTTGCCATTTTGTTTTCCTCCTTTCTCCTGTTTTCTGTGCCCTTTATTCCTTCTGGAACTTGGGCAGTAGCTGCCTAGTACCTGGTTTTTCCTCTTTAGTCCTTCTTTCCCCAGAAGAATTATTAGATCATTACTGTAGGGAATGTTGTATGGGGAAGGACATCATAGAATAAATCATAGGCCTCTGCTGTTTATGGCTCTCTTGCTACTTAGCATTATGACCTTGGCAAATCTCTTGCCCTTGTGGGGTCTTGGGTTTTCGAATATGTAAAAATCATGGTGGGATCAGCAGGTCTTAAAGACTTTCCCAATCCTACATCCTCTACTTGATTTGCTCAGCACCCGGCCCCTGCAAGACTTGTCTCCATCCAGCTCAGCCCAGGCACTGGAGGAGTTGTTTCCCCGCTACACCAGCCTTTGTCCAGGGCCCCCACTCAATCCCCCAGATTTTCAAGGAATGAGAGATGCACTGGACTCAGAACATACACGCCGCAAGGTGAGATACAAAGGCTTTCTTCTGAAAGTGGCAAAGATTAGAAACGGGACCTGAGTAGAAAAGGAAAGATGAGGGTTCATAAGCTGGAAAGCTGGGCCTGTGCTCTAAGGTATGTTAAGAGAGGCCTTTAGTGACAGTCCATATAATGCGCTACCACCCCTGCAGTTAGTCATCAGATTACTCTGTGATTCCCTTCATACAACTTAAAAAAAATTTTTTTTTTTTTCGGTCTTTTTGAAACAGCGTTTCCCTGTAGCTCCAGCTGGCCTGGAACTCACTATGTAGACCAGGCTGGCCTCAAACTCACAGAGATCCTCCTGCCTCTGCCTCCCAAGTGCTGGGGCTACAGGTGTGTGCCACCACACCCCTGGCTTAAAAATTTATTATTTTTTTTATGTGTATGAATGCACTGCCTACATGTAGGTAAGTTACTCATGTTGTACAATGCCCACAGAGGTCGAAGAGGATGTCAGATCCCCTGGAACTGGAGTTATAGACAGTTGTTAGTCCCCATGTGGATCCTGGGAATTGAACCTGGGTCCTCTGGAAGAACAGCAAGTGTTCTTAACCGCTGAGTCATCTCTCCAACCTCCCTCCCTTCATGTAACTTATCACTGATACATCTTGTTCTATTTTCTAAAATTTAAACTTCCTGAGGGTCAGTACTGTGTCCTGTTTAACACTGGCTCCCTAAGGTCTAGAATATACCTAACATAACTTAACATAAAACACCCCATAAGCATTTGTTGAATGGATATGAACTGTACTGGCTTGTGCAGAGCTCTATAGCTATTGGTAATCTAACAAACTTTTTTTTTTTTTTGTCTCTTTGAGACAGGGTCTTCCTGTAGCCCCAGATGGCCTGGTACTGGCTATGTAGACGAGGCTGGCCTCGATATCATAGAGATCCACCTGTCTGTGCCTCCCAAGTGCTGGGCCTAAAGATGTGTGCCACTATGCCTGTCTCCAATATAATGATCTTTTTCTCCATAAATGTCAGCCTTAATGTCAGAAGGGACAGAGAGATGGATAAGGATGAAGAAAAGGTGGAATCACTGGTTGTCCACTTTGGGACTCTCCCCATTCTTTTAAACTGCTTGGCCTTGAATGAAGGGTTTTCCTCTACTTTTGTTACATTTAGTCATCATGTCCAGTGAGCTCTTTAAGGCAGGAGTAACCCCATACTTTGCAGTGTGGGCTGGTATACCTCTGCCAAATGGTTTGTGGAGATTTTTCTCAGGAAATCCAGGAAAGGGAAGAGCCTGGAGGCTAAACATGTATTTCCTCAGCCAGTAGAAGAAGGCATTTGGAGGTCTTGGTCTCAAGGTTCCTGCTCCAGAATTCTTGATTATCCCTTTTCAGACCAATTCTGTTCCTGGGACCCAGGCTCCCTGTCTCCAGACCATTTCTCACTAAAGATGCTGTAAAGTCTGTAAAGTAGTACTGTGGTGAAACTAAGAATGAGCAGCACCCACATGCCTTACCCTTCTTTCCAGCATTGTGAGCGCCACATTCAGAGCCTACAGACTCGAGTGCTGGAGTTGCAACAACAGCTAGCTGTGGCTGTGGCTGCTGACCGCAAGAAAGATATCATGATTGAACAACTAGACAAGGTGACAGGGTGGTAAAGGATGGTGGGTCTCTCCATGGAGGGTACTGAGGAAGAGGAAGAGGGCCAGACAGTGGTTAGGCTTTTGGGGGAGGGGGGAGCGTTTCTTTTGAGACAAGATTTCACTATGTAGTCCAGGCTGGCTTTGAGCTTTCAGTGACCATCCTGCACAACCTTCAAGTACTGGAATTAAGGCATGAGCCATCACACCCAGCTTGACCAGTGAGCATACATGCTAAGAGTAAGGCGAAAAGGACAGGTTTTCTGACTTGGTGAAGGTAGCTTATGATTTTGCCCCTGGGGATAGAAAAGAGGGCAGAAAAATTATTTGGAATTCCACTTTCTTTGCCTTTCTTGAGACCCTGGCCCGAGTGGTAGAGGGCTGGAACCGGCATGAGGTGGAACGGACGGAGGTGCTTCGGGGATTTCAAGAAGAGCGCCAGGCAGCAGAAATCACCAGAAGCAAGCAACAGGAGGTATGTGACCTGATCATATGAAATTGGAACTATGTCATAGACTTCTAGATGGAAAGGGCAGAAATAATTCTGGAGTTAGGATTCCCAAAAGATTGGCTTTGGTCTTGTAGTAACTCTTCTTAGCCCCTTGCTCTGCCCTTTGTGCATCCACTGTCAGATTTAATTAGACGATGGCTTTCTGGTTTTCATTACACCACATAGTATTTTCTTGGTCCATTAGGTTATTTGGTTAACCCTGGGATTTCATGTTTTCATTCTTAATTATTTTTGAAGTAGAGACATTTTCCTCACTTCCTCTGTTCTGTTTCTCTCTCTTGAAAGACAGTAACCCGCCTGGAACAAAGCCTTTCTGAGGCCATGGAAGCCTTGAATCGTGAACAGGAGGGTGCCAGGCTACAGCAGAGGGAAAGAGAGGCACTGGTGAGAAGATGGGGCTGGGTGATTGTAGTGGAGGTTGGTAGTCACTACTAGAGACCTTTGGACTATCTAGTGGGAGTTTATGATTTGAATGGTATATCAAGAGTAGTATCAAGATGCGTTCCTTAGAACACTAGTTCTGCTAGAGAATCTACCAAAAAAAGATGTGCTGCCAACTAAATTTGAGAGACTGCAAATTGTATCCTTATTAAAGCATTGAAACCGAGGAATTGTTTTAAAATACATATTTCTAAAATGTCTCCATCCCACTTCCCCTCCAAGGCCAGAGGACCCTGGAACCTAGGGCCTCACACGTGCTACACCCTCAGCCACCTGACCCCAGAGTTGAGATTTAGTAGTTATATGATAGGTTTGGGAATTCATATATTTTAGAAATTTTGTAGGTGATTTTGTTCAGCCAGGTATGGGAACATGGCTATACCATGTTCTGGCTATACCAAAAAGTATAGGATGAAACTCAAAATTCTTAGAGCTGAAGTGGTCATATGATTACCTATGTAGTTAGTAGCCAGGTTTGGAACTTGTTCCTTGCATGATACATGCTTGCTATATGCAGGCTAATACTTGTGGGCTTAGTAAACTATGTGTGACAGTGTTGATGGTGGTGGCACTTGGCCAGTTCCTGACAATAGACTGAATTTTCTTTTAAAATATTATTATTATTATTAATTATTAGTTTTTTGAGACAGGGTCTCCTGCAGCCCCAACTGGCCTGGAACTCACTATGTAGACCAGACTGGCTTTGAACTCACAGAGATCTGCCTGCCTCTGCCTCCCAAGTGTTGGTATTAAAGGTGTACACCACCACGCTGGCATCTTCTAAAATACTTTATTTGTTGTTTTTATTTTATATGTACGAGTATATTTCCTGCATGTATGTGCCATGCAATGCCTGTGGAGGTCAGAAGAGGGCATCAAATTCCTCTGGAGCTGGAGTTACAGACTATTGTTAGTCACTATGTGAGTGCTAGGAATCGAACCCGGGTCCTCTGCAAGGGCAGCCAGTGCTCTTAACCGCTGAGCCATCTCTTCATCCCCTGGATTTTCTTTGAATGCAAATGGTAGTAACTATTATGTGTTCAGTACTTGCTATGTGCAGACACTGCCACGTGCTTTATGTATGCTTCTTCCTTTAATCTTCACAAGGCAACTCCGATTATCTTCAGTTTGCAGATAAGGATGTGTGCCTAAGAACACAGTCAGCTGGGCAAGGTGGCATATACCAGTAATCCCAATATTTGGGAGGCTAAGGCAAGGGAATCGTGAGTTCAAGCCCAGCCTGGGTTATATAACAAGACTCTGACTCAAAAGCAAAACATAGTAAATACATGAGAGAACTAAATTCAGACTGAGATTTGAACCTAGGTCCACCTACTCTGTGATCTCTGCGATGAAGTTCTTTTATTGCTGTTTATTTTTAAAATGATCATCTTGAAGCTGGGTGTGGTGGCACATATCTCTAATCTCAGCAGAGGCAGAGGCAGAGGCAGGTGGATCTCTGGGAGATAGAGGCCAGCCTGCTCTGAATAATGAGTTCTAGGCCTGTTGGGGCTACAGGGAGATCCTGTCTCCAAAAACCAAAAAGAGCAAAATAAATACATACATACATAAATAAAAAAATGATCATGTTGATTTTATAAGAAATAAGGAGTGGTTTATATCATATATTTCATAGCCCACAATGAGGTAAATCCTCACTTGACCTTGTATTTCCTTTGAAAGCATCATGAGGTCTTTCTACTCCACACATAGCATGCAACCTCATGGACTTCTATCTCTTTCCTTTAGGACTCTGCCCTCCTCCCTACCTCATTTCCCTTGCTATGCAGAGAAATCCAGCTCTAGCCAGCTTCTGACTTTGAATATCCAACCTGTATTAGTATATTTAGCCTTCCATTTTTTAAAAAGCCAAACACTAGAGGGTTTATACTACTTTTCTTTCAAGTTCTAAAGGTTTCACATCCAAAACCAAGGTGAGGTTGGTTTCTGGTGAGGGCTGGCTTGCAGACAGGTGACTTACTACACCTTACCCTTGACTAGGCAAAATCTGTCTTGCTTTTTTTTTTTGATCTTTTTGAGACAGGGTCTCCCTATAGCCCCAGCTGGCCTGGACTCACTATGTAGACCAGGCTGGCCTTGAACTCACAGAGCTCTGCCTGCCTCTGCTGGGATTAAAGACATGCACCACCATGCCTGGCTGTCTTGCTCTTAAAAAATTATTTATTCTTTGCCAATTTCATGCATGTAAACAATATATTTTGATCCTGTGCACCCTTAAATCCTCCTTCCATTCCTTCAAAATACTGTCAATGCATCTCCTCCCCCCTTTATACTTTCATGACTCTCTCTCTCTCTCTCTCTCTCTCTCTCCCTCTCCCTCTCCCTCTCCCTTCCTCCCTCCCTCCCTCTGCCCTCCCCTCTGGATAACCCCTCTGAGTCCAATTACTGCTGCATGTTGGAATGTTGACTCATCTTGTTGGCTTGATCTTGTGCAGATCTTGTGTAGGTTATGATAGCTGCAGTGAGTTCAAGTGCAATGTCCATGTCATGTCATTTCATAACGTTCCTCCCTGTGCTCCGGCTCTTAAATTCTTTATGTGCCCTCTTACACTAATGTTCCCTGAGCCTTGGGGAAGGGATGTTGATATAGATATATAGATGTTCTATTTAGGACTGAATACTTAATAGTTGCTTATTCTCAGCACTTTGGCCAGTTATGAGTCTCTGGATTAACTGCTAACCACTCACTCCATAGAGAAGCTTCTCTGGCCAAGGTTGAGGGTAGCACTAAGGTATAGAAACACTAATATTTAGAAGGCAGTTTGAAAACAGGTTAATTTAGCAAGATAACAGTAATAGGTTCACCCTAGGGCCTATAACCTTCTGAGCCATGGGCTTTTGACTAAGTTTTCAGTACCAGAAATAATTCCCTCGTGCGGAACAGTGGGATGGAGTTCTTACCTACTACGTTCTAATTGTGTGATCTAGTCAACTGTCATAGTTTTAGTGACGGTTAATTCTTAGAAATCACATTGTATGGGGTGGTTTGCCAGGTGCTGGTCTCTTGAGGACATACTAAAAGTCTGTTTTCTCCTGGGGCTTCAGGAAGAAGAAAGGCAAACACTGACTCTGAGGTTGGAGGTGGAGCAGCAGCAGTGCCGGGCCCTACAGGAAGAGCGGGATGAGGCTAGGGCTGGGCAACTCAGTGAGCGCAGGAACCTGGAGACACTTCAGATTGCCCTAGAAAAAGAGCGGCAGGCCTGGGCCCAGCAGGAACACCAGCTGAATGAACGCCACCAGGCACTACAGGAGGAAGGCCAGGCTCAGCTGGAAAGGGAGAAGGTAAAAGTGGCTTAGAAGAGTTGGCAAATGGAAACGATGGGCAAAATTATTGAACGGGTAAGATTCCAGAATACAGAGTATAATGGGACAGGGCTGGAGAATGAAGACCTATATGTGGGAGGCAAGACTGAGCGTTGTGAGCCAGCATAAAGGTCTGGAGACGGCAAATAATGGAGGGCCAAGAGGTGGGAAAGAGGATGAATGGGAGAAAGGAGAGAAGAAGCTTGGGCTTTACTTAGCATGGAAGCAAGAATTTGGCAACAGATAACCAGGAACGAGATGAGCATATACTTACAGCTGATTTCCCTTTTGCAGGGGAACAGCCAGAGGGAGGCGCAGGCAGCCCGGGAGGCCCAGCAGCAGTTGGTGCTGGTGCAGTCTGAGGTGCGGCGGCTGGAAGGGGAGCTGGACACAGTCCAGAGAGAGAGAGACGCTCTGCAGCTGGAAATGAGCTTGGTTCAGGTCAGCAGCAGAAGGTTCTTGAGGGTTTTCTGTAATTGGGAGAAGCAGGTCTGAGCACACACAGGGACTTCATGGGAATCTTGGCAGATTCTCCCATCTCAGGTATTTTGGGCTTATCATTGGGTTTCTGTGTAATTTGTTACAATTCTTTTTTTTTTTTAACTTTTATAAAAACTTTATTGAGAATTTCATACATGCATATAAGGTGTTTTGATCAAATCCATGCCTACTCCTTCCCGTCCAACATTCCCCTCTCTGAAGAGGTAACCCTAAAATCTTTTAAGG